TCATAATAAAAATAGTGCAAAAGACTTAGTATTAATATCACTGTCACTCAGTCAGCTATCAGAATGATTAGCCTTGGTTATCAGATTAGAGAAACACAAAAACTAGGGGGGTTCGTTTTCGTCTCCTCCAGTTCCTCCACTGATGTTTGTGGTCGGTCGGTGGGTGCGCCCCTCAGGTCGGTGGCGGGCGCACTGTCTGGCTACCTCCACACTATCCACGCGCCCGCCGGCAGCAAGATATTCAAATGCAAACTCGCGACACGTACGATTGTATGAATATGCTAAGCGGTTAGTTGGCATTCATGCCCCCCTTCTCCCCCCCCCCCCTTTCCTCTTTCTCGAACCCTGCTCCTTCTCAATGCCATGGGATGAGGTGAGGGCGTAGGTGAAGGGAGGGGGGTGAAGGAAACGGATCAAAGTAACACAAAGGTCAAGTGGAACTGAGTAGAATGCCACCGTGAAAAAATTCGATAAGCGTCGACGGAGGAGGGATGGAAAGGGATGAAGGAGGAGGAGGGGGGCGCTATCCTAGCTAGAATAAAGGAGGAAGGGTCGTCGACCAACCGTGTTGCGCAGTTGCGTACACTGTGTGCGTGTACTCGGGTACATCACACGAGAAACTGCACATGCGATCGGACCAAGGTCTGTTTTTAGTTACGTACCATTTTCTCTCCCTACTTGTAAACAGATATTCAGAATATGATGGGCCGCCGCGTTGTCGCCGTGTCACGTCGTGGATAAAAACACCGAGAGGGGGCAGGGGAAAGAAGAAGAGGAGGGCCGTGAAAGAGAAAGTGATATTTTTTTAAGGCAGGGAAGGGGCTTGCTTTGCTCTCTCACTTCTAAACGCTTTCTCTCTTGCCTGGCTAGCTCACCCGTGTATGCGCACGTTCGCGCATGTGTGTGTGTGTGTGTCTTTCAAAAGTTTTACATGAGTGCGCACACAGGCTGCGGGCGGGCCGGCTGGCTGGAGCTGGCTGGATGTCCTGCCCTGCCTACCAGCCCCGCTTCTTTGCCTCTTCTTCGTTTGCTCTTTAAACGGTTCCACTCCCTCTCTCTCGAATCTCCACCCGTGGAGGAGGGGAGTGAGTAGGCTCGACCGCCGCTCTTGCTGAGGAGATGGAAAATACCGCGTCGACTGGCGTTAGGGCGCTTGCTCAGCTCTGTCCGTAAAACGTTTTGGAGGGTAGCGAGGGACCATTAGGCCTTCCGTACCATTTAATCACGATCGGCGATGCATATGGCACACACTATGGCTCGGCGCCACCCCCCACCCATCCCACGGACCTTCTTTGTTCCGATTCTGGGGGCCTTTCCATACCTCCCCTCTCCCCTCTCCTCGGCGTTTGTCCTCACCCCCCCCCCCTTTTCCCTCCCGTCTGCCCACTCCAGTGACCATGCACCCTCCCGCGCTGCTGTTACGCGGTTGTGAGTCAAACAGTCAATCGTCTGTGCGTCCCCGGTCCCTACGTCCTCATCCCCCTCCCCTCACACCGCCAATCGCAATGCATGTAGTAATATGCGGAGCTGTGCCCGAGATTGCTGAGAGACGGCCGACTTTGGCTGCGTTCCGCCGTTTCAGAGAGCACTTCTGTATTGCTAGCTAGCTCCTCGTGCAGTTTAGCCGCTCAGCAACTTTGTGGTGGCGCGGCATCGTCCAGAAACTGATATTGAGGTTGCTCGCGCACTTACTCTATCCTCTCATCTCGTTTGCCCCCCCCCTCCCCCTTCTTGTTTTTTTTCTCTCTTCGTAAAGACCCGTACCACCGGCAGAGATTTACGGACCTTTATTCTGGTTGCGCCGCTTGCGCGACGCGCGCGCTTTTGTGTCGTTTTATACTTCTCTCTCTCTCTCTCTAACACACACACACACACACACACACATACACACAGAGTCTCCCCCCCC